TATATATATGTATATTATACATATGTATATGATGTACAGCAGAAGACTCGACTGATGCATTGCTGCAGCCATCGCTCTGCGCCTTCCACCGGATACGCTCACCATCCACGACCTCGCTACATGCTCGCAAGACCAGCACCACTGGTCCGCAGTCGCACCAACAAGGTGCACGAAGACTTAAGCCGCAAGCCCTGTCGGCATCTCTACTCTCGGTCTAGCAGCATGCGTGCATGCTTTGTGGGTCCTTCCGCGCTGGGATCCTCACCCAACGCGAGGAGTGGTCATCGCCGCAGGTCCACAGGATGACGTCCGCGCCATCCTGACAAAGCTCGGAACCGCCCAGGCTTCTGCAATCAGGAAGCGCTCCTGGCACTTACCCTCTCGTACAGCCAGGCAGTAGTGCTCGTCGCTGCCCAACCTTGCGCAACGTCTCACTTGTTGACCCATGACCCGGGCCTACACTTACGCGCTGCATGCCTGAGATTGAGACAAAGGGATACTAAGGTCCGGAGTTGGTCCCTCTCTCTCCTCCTCTCCCTCTCCCTTCCCCTCTCCCTCTGACGTCTCCAGGGCCTAGAAAGGCTGGGCCTATCAAAAAACCCATGCTCTGAACTCAAAGCCGCGTCACAGTGCTGGACTAGGCTTGCTTTCGGCGCATGCTGGGCCAATGGCACGAGGTGATCTTGCGACACTGTCCAGCGATATTCGTCCTAGGACGCAGATCTAGATCTGATAGCACCATGACATCCTCTCTCCGACCCATCAAGATTTTGTGGTGGCAGCCAGCAGGCAAAACCTGCAACTTCAAGTCCCCAGCCGTGTTGCTGCACTGCCACAAGATGGCATCGCTGCCTGGCAAGCATTTGCTGGCCGTGAGGAATCCTTAATATCACTCGATTCCATCTGAATCTGGAATTCGCAATCATCCCCAAGAAAGGTCCGTGACACACACACACACACAGACACGCGCACACACACACACACACGAACAAAAACATGAACTCAAACAAAGCGCTCGTGAACAATAACCCTCCATCAGCAATCTCGCACCGCATTGCTTCGATGGCTTCTCGAAGTTGGGGACGAGTGGTCCGTGTGCTAAGCGATCTCAAAACGTGGCAAGCATGCCATCGGCGATCTTGCCCTCGCGCACACTGACCTCGGAGCATTTGCATGGTTGCTAACCCTGCAAGATGGGAAGGCAATGCAGCGACTGCCAAAATCCACAGCCTTCACAGCATTGTCTCTGCTTGAGCCTTGAGCCCGTCGCACATCTGCTAGGATCGGCCTTCGGTTTCAGCCTGGCCAGACTTTGGGGTAAGGCAACGGAAACCAGGAAGGCACTGTAGATGATGCAATAGCGACAATCATGGTCGTAGCCGGAACCAAGAAAGCCAACAGAAACAGCACCCGTGGCATAAGAAACCAGACACAGTAACGGCAACCACGGGAGAGGCTCTAACTCTAAGAGTCCAACTGAAACCAGGAAACGGAACCGGAGCCTTTGCACCCAAAGCCCCCGCCTGGTACCTGCTACCGAGTACTAGAGGCCTGGGTTCGGTTGCTTCCTAGATTTCTGAAGGTCCTAAGCTTGTTTCCGTTACGACTTCGCTGTTGTGTGCGCTCAGCACAACACAGGCAGGCAACACAGGAATCCGTCGAACGTAAAGAGGAAGGGGTTGATGTACCCAGACCTGAGTTGCTGTTGCCACACATTTGCCACAAACGGCATTCCCGCGGCTTTGCATTCAAATTCTTTAGTCCTGTGCCAGAGAATGACGTCTGCACCATCCTGGACGCGGCCCTGTCGGACCTCGGATAGTCGTAGGCTCAGTTTGGTCCGCGGGTGCTGCGGATTCGGAGACAAGTCCCCGTGCCAACACGGTGCACAAAGTTGCATTAGCATGTGATGTCGACAGTCGTATCGAAAACGTCTGCGACGGCCGTATACAAACCCCAGCATGATGCATGGAGTGCAGTAGGCCTCAGGCTGACAGAAAGTATCTCTGATCTGCCTCAAACCTCAGTTCCCCGGACGAAATCATTTACCAAGCGAGAATCTCACAAGCGCCGCTTCCCATCGTACTCTGGTTGCCATCCCGCTATGGCTAAACTTCCTTGCTCAGCTGTTCGCACGATGGAGCCACCGTCAACTTTCCATCGGTAGGCCTTGGCCATGTTTGCAACAAGTCTGTCCTGCACTCACAGGGCTCTACACTTAGACGTTGCATCTACTGCATTGCATCGAACGTCCCCCAGGACGCAGCGTTGGAGCGTGCACAGCTCCAGAGGATGATGTCGGAGCCTCAATGTACAACCGCGTGGTCAAGCAGTGCTGGGCAGATCTGGGCAGGTTTGGGCCGCTCGCGCGCACTTCTTGAGCTCTGCGGACTGAATCCAGGCGTGGATTCTGGGGCTCCTGCCATCTCCAGCTCTGCCTTCGCGGACGCTCATGCCTCAGAGGAAGTTTGCAGAATGCAACCAACACACAGGCGGGAGTTTTGGGAACGAAGATCGCTTGAGCTCCATGCAGTAGCTGGGGTTCGCCTGGAGCCTTGATAGCTTGGCAGGGCTTTTCTGGCGCCAGAAAACCCACCAAACCCGTCAGAGTTTTGTCCGAGGAGCTTGATCAGGCCGTCCTGGACGAGCCACTTGAACTCTCGGCCGTCGCTGCAGTGCCTACACTCGCTGCTGGGCCGTACTCATGGCACGGCTACATGTTCTGGATCGCGCCATTTACCACTGATCCCCCGCTCCCCGACTGACCGAGTTCAAGCTGCCGCCGAGGCACCACATGATGATGTCAGAGCCGTCAGTTATCTGACACAGGTTACAGGAAACAGCTGCATGGAAGCCCCTATTCTTGGACGTTAATCGCCTCGTCTCCGAATGACTAGCAAACTCAGAGAGCCAGAGTCCCACTCCCAGAATCGCTTGCATGAATGGGGCTGGGACCAGTTCCGCACCCCTCCGCCGAGCAAAATCCGGCCTCGCCCTGCCGCACACTCGCACAGTACTTCGCATCCAGCCTGCAGGGGGCAACCAATTTAGGACAGGCTGAGGAGCTGCGCTGATGAGCGGCGCTGAGCGGCACTGAGCTAAGGACGAGGACTTGATGTAGGGACCCTCAATTCTCCAGACATTCCTGAACGTGTCAGAGGCACAGAGATAGGCTTTCCGGGAACGCTGCTGAGAGCCGTCCAAGGAAAACGGAGCTGAAATCTCGTGCTCAATGCTGCTAGGCTGAGCACTAGAAGCCTGCACATCTGGCTTGTAAGGCCCGGTCTCGTCAGCCATGGTCTGTTGTCTGGCAAGATTGTCGCTCGAGATAGTAGCAGCTGTCGAACAGCCTCCTCCCCCCATGCCAAATAAGAGCACGCACCTCTGGTCAGCAGAGACCGGCAATCCGAGCGGCTCAACAGCCTGACGGGATGCTGCAAGCAATCCTGTCGCTTCGGGTGACTTTTGAAGGATTCGGACACGGAGATTGGATTTCGGGAGTGTTGGAACAAGGTCGCGTGCGGCTCTGCCTGGCACGACCAAATCACCGCATCGGCCGCGGCCTTGTAGCCACTGGTCTCACCTTGCAGCTGCAGTGCTTTAAGAACTAGGAACCGTCTTTGCGGAAGGATGGAAGTTGAAGTCACTCGAGCGGTACAAGATGAGAGGCAGGCGCACCGAGAGGCAGTAGTCCTGATACGGTCATGTTTGGAAGGCTGCATTCTCAAAGGCGAGGGGAGCCATACCAAACGTCCTGATTCTCCTTGTGCTTGATGAAACTCCCTGACACCTGCAAAAAGCTCAAAGATAGCTGAGTCGCAGAGGCACGCCCAATGCCCATGCCCATGCGGCCTCCCACTGGAATTCAGCCGTCTCCGCACAACTCCAAAGGATGACGTCTTCACCGTCCTCAGGCAGCAAAGGGCAACCACTTCAGTGCTGCGCAGAGCCAAAAGAGGTGCCGACCATAATATGCCCTTGCCGAACGGACAGGCAATACCTGGAAAAACGTTGGCATTGACTTTTGGGGAAATCCCAGTGCCAAGGCTCAGGCTTGGGGTTTGTCTCCCAGCGGATCAGGCTGCCGATTCTGTTCCATCTCACTGCTGTGCCCTCAGTCTGTCAGGGCATGGACCGAAACGATCCCAGAAGTTCACTGGGTTCCGTACTCCGTTGCCACACTTGTCGGCAGACACTTTGCTGCCCTCGCCCGCGGGAAGGCCTGTTGCGTGCCCTTCGTGACCCACCCTGCACCCAGCCTCCATCTTTGCCCAACCCTGGCCCCACGAGTACACAATTGATTAACCGAAGGTTGCAGGATCCCCTGGCTCCTGACGCGTCAGACCAAGGTCGGCTTGCCAGGTGTTGCAGAAATTCTCACGGATGCAATCAAGTCCTCCTGTCACTGAATACAGTGAATACAGGGAGCCCAGTAAGCCCGGGGCGAACCGATAAACATTTGTTGCGGTCCGTCTCCATTCTGATGAGTTTGCCTGTACCACAGTTGCACCCCTGACAGAAACTTTGCCAACAACTCGTGTAGTCTCCCCGACCACAGTCACTACTTGGACCTGAACGTCCTTCTATAATACCGTCAGGGTATGCCAGGGTAAACATGTCACAGTTTCTAAGACCGCCATCCAAGTTCTGGGCCATCGAACGACCATTTGTCGTTCATGCCACCCTCACGAATTCCAAAGTTCATTCAGGTGCGTTCCAAGATCGGCGACCCGAAATGCATGCCGAATTCAGGAGAACACCACCGTCCAAAGGATGATGTCTGCACCATCCATTGGGTTGTCGTTGCGCCTTGCAAAACAGCCAAGTTCTGTCCTGTGCTTTCAGGCTCGGCAGTTTGGACTCATACTGGCTCGTAACCCGGGCTCTGCATCCCAAACTGGGCCGACGGCACTACCATGGCAAACCTCGGATTCGCCTTGTACTTGATGAACTCACCGTCCATTTCCTGGCAGTGTCGCGTGCATGGCTCTCACTGCAGTGTTTGCGGTGCCCTCCAAAGCGAGTAGAGAAGGCCCAGTGGAACTCCGGGGTCTCAGAACACTTCCACAGGATGATGTCAGAGCCATCGCCGATCTGCAAAGAGACGCACAAACGCAAAAGCAAATGTTAGAGTGCCCATCGCGAGCGCGGCTCACAGTCGCCTTTCGTTGGCGACGCTTGGCTACGCGGTGCGCATCGGGCCTTGCCCTCGCGCACGCCCAGGCAATACGAGGGGTCGGCCTCCCAGGACTCTGGGACTCAGCTCCGAGGGTCTCTGTGAAGGGCTTGAATTGGGGACGTGCTTTGGCGCCTCGTACTGGATGTAATTGCCGTTAACCTCACATCACCGGCTTCAGATGCCCCGATTACTTCTTACCCATGTCAACTGGCATATTGAAATCGCTGCCACACTGACACAGATGCTGAACATCACATGGCTCACGAGCTTGTCGGACTGAGATCGCGACTTTAAACTTGTGCTCTGCATCTGGATTCTCGGCATCACAGTCCACGAAAAATGAGGTTCAAGTGTTTTCGGCATCTTTCGGCGATTACTGACTTGTTGTGTCTTGTCTGATTCTTGGGCTCCCCACACAATGCCACAAGATGACGTCCACGCCTCACCGTGTCCCCAAGATTCCCCTAAGTCTAAGGGCACCGAAGCCCTCTCTGCTCTACCCCCTCGTGAAGGGGTCGAAACATCAACCCCAACTCAGTCAGCGGCCGTTGGCAACCTTGCCTTCTCGCCTGATGCATCCGATCACTGGTTTATGCACGCTGGGAGCTCAGGATCATTCCATGCACGGTGATGCCCGAAGCTCGCACTGGAATTCACATTGACATGAGCGACAATGGTGCTTCCCTGATTTGAGGAGCCTGAGGCCTTGAGCCCTTGAGGCATTCTGAATTGTCGCTGGAAGCGTCTTCCCTGTCTTGAGATTTTACGACTCGCGATCGACCAAGATGCAACGCAATCCGCAAAGAGTCAAGTCCCTAAAGCAGACCGCACTGGCCAGGTGCCCCAGCAGACTCACGCAGTAGGACGGATTCTGCTTGTACTTCAGGAAGCTGTTCTTCAGTATCCATCGCCTTTCGCAGATCAGATTCAGTGGTGCAGCGCGGATCTGGCCCCACATGAGTTTAGTCCGCAGTCATGGATATGCTCCTCCCGGACTTAGCATAAGGCTTCTGAGGATGCTGCTGTTCTCCGAAGGCCTGCGTCCCAGGCAGGAGGAGGCAAAAGATACCTCGTTGTTACTGGTGGTTTTGCGTGGCTTGAACCGACTCTCAACAAGATCTCAACAAGCCCACAAGACTCTGCCAAGCTGCAAAGCATCGTCCGCGGCCTGCGCATCGTTGCCTCAAGCTCGGATCAAAGGCACAGGCACGTGGCGGTACTTCCTTCAAGCAGCGCCTACGGATCCGGCAAATGCCAACGCGGTCGAATCGTGTAAAGCACTGGCGCGTCAAGTCAACGATGACAAACACTTAGTGCCACAGAAGCTGGAAGGCAACATGCACGGTTCGTGCATGCGAAACACATCAAAAAAATGTTCATCGACTGCTTCGATCGGAACAGGACCTACAAGTAGCAGGAGCAGCACACGAAGCTAGGAGCCTTGCAACTCTTTTTGGTGGCTGCTTCGCGGTCCGTTATGAGCACGGCTTGAGCTTAACGGCCGAAGGACAATCCCACGTGTTGGCCAACACATCGCACAGGACGCCGAAAAACCCTGCAGCCAGACCCGGCACCTGGCTGAAGATCGGGAAGCGCTAGTCGCCAAGCACCTGCACAGCAGCACTTGAGCACATCTGCAACTCACAAGATCTCATGAGTGCTGTACGTGCGCGAGCCACATGCATTTGGAAAAACGAAACGTTCAGCCTTTTCAGAATACGCAGGACTTCATCTTCTTCGCTGCTGCGAAAACCGCAGACCGCGCCACGAGTGGCACGGGACGCTTGCCTGGGCCCACGCCAAGAGGCACCGGGTTCGCACGCGGGTTCGCTGTCTCATTGCCTCGGATCGCTCGCAGAAAGCACAGAAAATAAAGCCTAAGTGGAGTCGGAGTCTTGTTTTTCTGCCTTTGTCTCCCAGCGGCGGTGCTCTTTCCAGGTGGGCATGTTGTGGGGCTCCTGCGGTGCCGGCGCCTCTTGGAACCAGCGGTGTTGCAAAGCAACAGCTGCCGTCACACGCTTCGTCGGGTCGAAGGTGAGGGCGCGGTTCAGCAAGTCCAGACCTGAAATGCGAGCGGTCTGTGGTCCCGGAAGAAAGCGACAACAGTCGCATGACAGATCTATCGGCAGCCAGCAGCGGCCCTCCTTACAGGCATTTACCTACGCTCTGCAGTACCTGTATTTCCGTTGCCTTGCATATCTTTGTGCTCACGACATCGTTTGCTTGGCGTGTGATCACATTGGCGGTAGTGTTGACGGTAGTTGGAATCAGCTTGATCTGTTCAAGGCCAAGTTGCAGCTGTCCGGCATGTCAGGAAACTTGTCGCCCAAGTTGTTGTAAGTGTTCTCAGGGAGCTTGAAGGTCCCATAGTGCTGCAGCCGCTCAAGCCCAGGCCAAATCCGCGGCGAAGGAGTCCCGAGTAGAGCACAAGTCAGCTGCAGCTGGTGCTCCTCAAACTTTCCTGCAAGCACACCGCACATCCCCAGCCTTTTTATTCTTGTGTTAGATACCCATGCCTGCACTCAAGAAAAACAAATTAAATGGCCTGGCAGCAGGGGCCGCTTGAGAAGGAGCTCCCCAAAGTTGCAGCCCACAGACCACATGTCCACTGCCATGGTGTAGCTCTGGGCACCAAGAAGCAGTTCTGGCGCCCGGTACCAAAGCGTCACAACGTTCAACGTGACCGGCTTCTGCACATCCGTGAACTCCCTGTAACAAGGCAATGCAAATCAGTGGCACTCTGTGCTTTCTGCAAAGGAGCACACATGACTGGGTCGGCAATTCGAGGTGCACTCAGACCGCCTAGCTAAGCCGAAGTCCGCCAATTTCAGGACGCCCCGGTTGTTCCTTAAAGACTCACCGACAACCTCTCTGTGCCGGCGTCTGTTGGCAAGCAACACTTCGAAGCTGATGACGGAAAAATCAATCGCTTGTCTCATTGTCCAGATTCTCCATTTCAGTCGACTACTGGTTGAGCAAAGCTAACCTGTTTTGGGAAAGGACGTTCGGCCGGAGGCTCAAGAGAAGGTTTGAAAGCTTGATGTCGCGGTGGATCACAAACGCTGCGTGCAAGCATTCCACCGCCTTCAGCATGTGCGCAGTCTGTGCAAACTCATTTGACATGACCATCATGGCTACCGTTGGACATGTCAGCTGCGTTCCCTCCTTGAGCAGTTGGAGCGTGAGGCATTTCACCTCCGCCTCGCTGAAAGGCCGCTCCATAAGATCCTCGGAACAAGCACACGGGAACGAAGCTAAATATTTCGCATCCACCAAGTGTTCACGAATATATCGATCCTCAATCGTGGAGCTTCCAAAAACCCTGGTGCTACTACACACGTGCGAAAAAACTACAGTGTTACAAAGCACACCCATGAAGAACAGAGAAAAATCAGATATGACGCGGCCAACAGTAGGTGGAAAGCTAAAGTTCGATGAAAATCATTCTTGGACATTAACCCATCGCGCACCATGACACCTGTTTGCATGTTCTTCTTGCTGCTGATCAACGATCGGTCAACCAGTTCAGATCAGAAGCTCAGATAATCAGCACGACTAAATATGGACACGCAGGCATCCTCCGAACCTAACACACTGGCCGCGGTTGGCACAAGTTCCCCTCACACGTGGTTTCGATACTGCAAAGGCCTTCACCCGCGAGCGAGCACGGGTCCTCTTCTTTGTTGCGTGAAACCCAGCAACTCCCTTCTTAACTGCGACGATCCTAGCCCCTAGATACACCGCCCCCCAAACCCCTTTCAGGCTTACCCGGCACCCCGATCCTTCACCAGCAGCTTCCATTCCTCGAACCGTCTACGCATCTAAACCAACCCGCACTTCACCATTGCACACCGCACACCGCTTCACACCAAGCGGTGTGTGCAAAGTCGAAAATGTCCAAACGACCGTTTGATGCACGTGGTGTGTATGAGTTAGTACACGGGACACCCCCCACGACCTCAAAACCAAGCAGTGCATCCAGTGTTCAACGGAGCTTTTGGCGCATAGTGGTGAGTGTGGAATTGGACGCCCACACGACCGTAACGCCTTTAGGGCCGTCAAGCAGTGTCCAAAACGAGCTTTTGATGCATGGTCGGCATTGTCAATGAATGAATCAATGTCAAAACAAAGCACGGATCAGGCTAGAAAATACAGGGTTCGGGGCCAATCAAAGTCGCTGGGCACCAGCGCCTGCATGGGGTCAGAAGAAAAGAGAGGGATCAAAAAACAAGGATGAGGTGATAAAAGCTCGGTGGTCACAACACAGTGGGCTCACTGTCAAACTCCAGAAAGAAGCAGCAATTCCCGTCAGCAGCACATAGCAGCACCATCACGAGTAGCAGCGCCACCAGAGGCAGCGACATGTCGAAGGCGAGACGAATCTTCACTGGCAGCGAAGATCACATCCTCCTCGCCCAGTTGGTTGCACGTAGCTGATTGCTTTGCCGTTGCCGGCGCCAAGTTGTTGGCATGCGGCATGTGATAGCGGTTTGCTGCCTCGTCACTTACGGGCGGTGAGCCCAGCTTGCTTGCCGTGAGTTGGCAACTAGTGCAGCGACACATGCAAAGGACGGGCTTCGAGCTGCACAAGCAACAAAACGCAAAGTTCTACAGAGCTTGCACAGCAGCTTGACAACAAGTGCCCCCTAAGTCATGGCGTGATGCTGCAGAAAGGCCGGCTACAGCGTCCAAATTGCGGTGCGTGAAGCGTGGTCTCTCGAACTCTTTATGCAAGATACCGGAAGTTGAAATTTAGATAATGACAAAATTAGCTATGCTTTCGACCATCATCTACAAACAGTACCAGTGTAAGCTAAGTGCCAATCAACCTCAAAGCAACAAATGCCAAAAAATCCAGTGCGCTGGTAGACGGGAACCGATACCTGAAATCTTGACCACTGGGTCAACGTGAACCTGTCGAAAATCTGTTCACGACACTTGCCCCACTTGTGCAATCTGAACTCGCCGGTTTACCCACTTGTGCCACTTGCACTTGTGCCACTTGCACTCCGTGAGGCCTGCAATAGCACTAGCAGCAGTAATAATTTTGATAGTAAGATTAATCGTACTACTTGTCATTAATAGCACTACAATTACAACAGCACCCCCAAAAAAGACTAAACCCTTAACCCCTAAACCCTGAAACACTAAAGCCGTAAACCCGAAAATCCCAAATCCTAAAACCCTAAGCCATCCTAAACCCTAAAACTCTAAACCCTTACTAACAGACATGGTGGCTGCTGTACAGCTTATTGAAGCTTTTCAAGGCATTCAGCAAGGTCTGTTCAGCCCAGAATCGAGCAGTGCGCCAACATCATGCTCGCAGTATTCGAAGACGAGAAAGACGCTTCCCGGCTGCCTGCAGGAGGGAGTCTTATGATCTTCACCACTTTCAACTTTTGAAGCTCACCCGCCTTCCACATGCGACCTCACGCAGCTCCACGATGTTCGGGTGCCGCAGCCTTAGGTGCCAGACAAAGCTCCGGCAGAAGCTGCAAGCAGGCTGCAAGCAGCAGCCACGACTATGTCATATGTCATGTCCTCTTCAAGCAGTAGCCTGGGAGCCGTTTAAGCAGCCGGATCTCACGAAGGGAGCTCTTCGGGAAGCCCTCCTTTTCGGCATGGATGGTGACCTTCTGCCGAACTTAGAGTCAACCGGAGCGTTCAAAACCTCTGAAACCCGGATCTTCCCGGAAGCTCTAGGCCCTAGGCCTTCTTTAGGGCCACGATCTCGCCGTTCTCAGTATCCCTGGCACGATAGACCTCCGTCGCCAACACTCCGGGCTGCTGAAATGCCACACCGAAGCAGATCCAAGCGGCTGTGCCGTAGCTTCCTTGGCCCAGCCGGTTCAGCTTCTCGAAGACTTCGACTCCTGAAGGGCAAAAACTCACGAGAGGTCTCCAGGCTCAACAGCTCGGCTGTCGCCTCGACACCGGCCGAGGTAGCCCAATCCCAAGGCGCCGCCCGAGGCCATGGGCCGACGGAAATCGGGGGAAGGGTCTAGGGGAAAGCTGCAAGAAAGGGGCTTTCTGAAAGTCGAGGGGTCTGGGGCGGGGCGTGCTTTGTGCTCTGCGCTCCAGGTCAACGAACACCTTTGCTTGGGGCGATTTGGCTCAAAAGCTGTGAACCGCGCGAAGTGGCGGCACAGTTCTGGGCACTCGTCATCTCTCGTCGTCTCTCGTCATCTCTCGTCTCCTGGCCCTGGCCTAGGACCAGCCTCTGGAAGGCGAGCTCCTTTGCCGAGAAGCTCAAGCGCAGGCGCCTCGCTGCGCTGCTTCCTTCGTCTCTTCTCCAGCTCAGCTCCGCTCTTGAAACTCAGGCGGGCTCGAAGACAGCTGCGCCCGACGATGCCAAGCTGTCATCGCCTCGACTGACGACTTGCAGACTTCTCCAGGCTTGGAAAAATCTGAATCCGCTCCGAGCCGAAAGCCAGTGATGTTGTCGCCGAGCGCTTCCATTTATCCTCTATATCAACACCCGGAACAGTAGCTTGGAGAGCGGACCATGTCGCCTTTATCATTGAGGTCGGCCAATCGATTTTCAGCAAGGAGGGCTGGGCCAGGCTGGATTTAGGTCACGGAGATAGAGCGTGGACTGCCCAGAATGTGGCAACACAAGCGTGATTTGCACTTCTCTGAGGCACAATCGCAAGAAGCCGACTGGCAAAGTGAATGCAAATCAATAGGCTCTGTCACTGACTGTAAATTGGTTAAGGAATTGTTTCGTTTTTATGGTACTGCTAGGAACCTTGTTTCGTTTCATGGTACCGTACCACAGTAATGGCACCTTGCAGGGAGTCAAGGACTAACTTAACTGGTTCCCGCTTCGTCCGAGCCTCAGATGCATGGGCGCGGCGCATCTCCAACACCGCATATCTGGCAGCGCGAGACTGATAACTGATAACCGCTTCTTCCCAGCAAAGGCCACTTTGCGCCCTGCACTGAACCACCGCGCCTTCCAAAGGTCTCGGACTGCCAGCCACGAAAAGCGAAACCGAGTCCAACCTCAAAAATCTCAGCGGTTCAGGTGCAAAGTCGTCTTTTCAATAAGAACACCTAAGGACCTTGGGCCTAAAAGGGCCTACAAGCCTCTCCGGAAGCTCTACACAAAGGCCGAAGCTGTCCCGGAGCAGGCGAGGCGTCGCTTGCCCGTCACATGGCATACGCGGCCTTTCCAGCCCCCAAACGCTGGCCGGAGCAAAACCCCACGAGCTCGCGCCTAATCTGTCGGCCATCACTGCACATGCTTCTGCAGCTTGGCGACCCTCCCTGCACGTCTGGAGGCTGTACAGCTTGCAAACTTGCTGGACAGAACCTAGCCCGCTCGTAGCCGGTGGGCGCACCGCAGGTGCGAGACCCCCGAAGCCCAGCACAGGAAGGTGCGGAGGGCAAGCACGCCTGTGAGCAGGCGTTTCAATGCAATCTGCAGACACAGTCACTCCCTTCAAAACAGCTTGCACTAGGACTGAGCCCTTCCCGGTGGAGCGGAGACCTTCTTTCCCCAGGGGCCGCAGCGGTCCACTGTGCTGAGTTGCCTCAGAAGACACATCTCCAGCATCATCGCTTTGCCCCATCTCTCCGCAGCCCATGGGGAACAGGCACCCCGTCGGATGATCTCCGACCAAGCCAGGAGGGTACTTCGGGCCTGAGATGCACAAGTCCGTGGATGTGCTCCGCAGGATTTCTCGGTGCAGCTGTGCCACAACACTGGCTTGCCTTTCCAGCTTTCTGCTCACCTCGTCGGCCTCAAACCCGTGGCGCCACATGCCACATCTCGCCGATCTCGCAAGCAAACCAACGCACGAGCTGCCGTGTTCCCTGCGGAGCGTCGCTGCAATCTGGCTTGCACGCTCAGCCTGCTCAGGCCATTTCGGACCCTCACAACTTCACAACCACTGAATCCAAAAGAAGCACCTCCAAGAAGCTAAGACCACCCGAAGCCTGGTCTCAAGGAGAGTGTCAAGACTACAGTTGACTACTGCTTCCAAGCAAGCAGTGTAAGGCTGCTGCGCTTGGCAATCGGCATGTGCAAGCATTGACCTCACCAGCCTGCCACGAAACGGCCCCAAGGGCCCACGATTATCTCGCGGCAGCCTGTACAGTAGCGACTACTAGTGCGTGACCTTTCTTTTCTCAAGCGCCCCAGTCATCTTGACATCGTCACGGCGCTCGGTGAAACAAGAACCGTCCACATTCAGTGGACGGCCTCGTGGAGCAGAGACGTGCGAGGCAACTCCCCCTGCCTTTTTTTTTGGCAAGCGCAGGGCCCAAAGTAGGTCCCGTCTGCTCCGACCGTTCAGGAACGCTGCGCGGGTTTACGGCTTGGCTTATTTACAACTGGAACCCAAGATGCTCTGTTTCTGGCAACAACAGATACCTGGCGATAAAGAGGAGTGTTGT